TTAGTAGGAATATGGTCTAGGTAGTATAAGCATGCACTCTTACTTAAAGCAAGTGTACTGTAGGACAAAGAAAGCAACTATATATGAGAAGCACTTTGTTTTTAAAGGCACGCTGTACTTTCTGTATGCTTGTATTGTTCTTCTAGAAGTCAATGCTTAAAAGAAACTACTAAAATCCACCCCCCACCCCAATGAAATTTTCTTTAGCTGTCTCACTAGTCTCTTGTTCACTTGCTGAGAATGCTTCCCTTTGTTCCGTTGTGTGAATGCCTGCGATTTAATTATATTTAATAACTGCCTGTTCAAAATTTATTGGTGAGTTACACAATTTTAAAATAGATGAAAAGATTATACAATATTTTGAACTCACCATGCTTTTCTATTAAGGTATGTCAAATATTATATCACTTCATATTTACTGGGTACTAAGTCTATTAAACTGTTCTAAAACCCAAAGATAAAGACTTCTGCGAAGTGGTCAGGGGTGGTTCTTCCATCTCTGTGTGTCCACTGAATAGCCTATGCAAAGTGTATCAGTATGCGAGGTAGTTTCTGAACAAAACAATTTAATTTCCACATTCTATATAAAGTTTACTTGGTTATAGGTTATTCAGTATTCCAAATTAAAAAAAATTCTATCTAAAAGTCTCATGGACTTTCATCACGTGTTTCAATTTCTTACTCAGAAGGACCAAGATAATCTGCTTGAATGCAGAAATAAAACACTGTTTTAGAATTGAAGAATGGGGGTAACTGGCACTTAATAGAGCTTGGTTAGGGGAAAAACAGGTATAAATAATTTACAATCAAGTTGCCTATATTCCAGAGTATCTTACAGATATCTTAAGTAATTTTGAAATCAGAGCAAATCAGACAAGGCAGAGGTAATGACAAGATGAATAAACCTTAATCTAACCTATCTTGGACACCTGTAATACATTAATTGTTAAAAATGAACCCATTCATAAGTATCCATTATGCCATGTTTATTTTAAAATAATTAATGAGAAATAACTGGCAAATATAACTGCCAAGCAAGTCAGGTTTGTATTGTTCTGCTTCTCTACTAGGAAGCTATTGTTATTCTCCCTAGTTACTATTTCATGTGGAACCCTTTCTATTATTCCACCTACTCCAAAAAGTGGCTTTTACATTTTTATTATTTTTTTCCTCTTTCTGTACAGGAACTTTATTGTAGCTAACTACTTCTTAGTTGAAAGATCAGTTTAGACCATATCTCATGGTAAAAGGGAAAGAAAACAGAACATAAAAATGGTTAGTACTTTACCCAAGGTCAGAGTTAAAAGGAGTATATTAAAATTTCTCCTGTGCCTATCTAAACATCTACATATTGACCTGATTATTCAATACTATATGCACACAGTCCAAGTTTTGTGGGGATTCTGGTTTTAAAAGTCAGTATCTGGGCTTCCCTGGTGGCACAGTGGCCGAGAGTCCGCCTGCCGATGCCGGGTACACGGGTTCGTGCCCCGGTCCGGGAGGATCCCACGTGCCGCGGAGCGGCTGCGCCCGTGAGCCATGGCCGCTGAGCCTGCCCGTCCGGAGCCTGTGCTCCGCAACGGGAGAGGCCACAGCGGTGAGAGGGCCGCTTACCGGGGGGGAAAAAAAAAAAAAGTATCTGACACAAGAGTGAACACAGGCTTCCCCTGCTATCTGAAAGTAGAGCTTTCCTATGAAACCTTTTGTAAGCCAAAATAGGTAAAGCAAAGAAGAAATTACCTCAAGACATATCTTGCTAACGGACGCACAAAATAATTCAAGATAAAGCACAGATGCTCACAGACACAGTTCAAAGCTATGGTGGCTTGATGCTGAATGTAGTTCCCAGGGAGAGAGGTTGGCAGTGCCACTCTGGCTGCTTGGGGCTCTCCGCAAAGCAAATGCTGAACACTATTTTCACTTTTCACCTCTTTTCATAAAGGTGAACATCCACTTAAGATTTCTTTCCGTTAAGTGAAAGCAGGTACTAATGTAGGTCTTTCATGAAAGCGAAGTGGAGTAAAGCAAATTTTTGAAAAGCGGAGGACACCTGCGTACTGTATGATATCCCCATTACGTGAAATGTAACAGGCAAAACTATCCTGTGATGTTGGGCGTGGGAGAGTGAGTAGTGACTGGAAGAAGTTACAGGGGCCTGCTGGGGTGCTGGTTAGTTAGATGGGTGTGTTTACTGTGAAAATCCATCAGGCTGTACACTTAGGATTGGTGCATTCCTCTGTATGTATGCTATACTTCAATAAAAAGGTTTAGGTATAGTGTTGAAACTCTAATGGCTATATTTTTAAATAGAAATAAGGAAAGAAAAGTTAAGGGAACGAAGTAAAGAGCTCCGTAAGAAAGTGTGTATCCTTTGAAAGGACCATAATCTAACAACTTCTGCAAAAGGCTGAGGGTGATTAAGTCAGGGGAAAATTGGATCCCTGGAGAACTGCATGATGAGCAGAGAGGGTACTCACAAGGAAAAGGTGAATCTAAATGAGCGGGGGCGGGGGGCAGGGAGGAGACCACCATCTTTTGTTGAGAGGCAGGTGTCCAGCGAATGGGGCAACAGCAACTCCCCGCCCCCCACTACCATTACAAGGAAGGAGCACAGACTAATCAATGTTTCTTTTTTTTCTTTTTAAACAATGATCTCTGCTTGTCCACCACTGTAGATATAATTAGAAAACTTAATTCCTCCCTAGCCCTTAAAGTAACTCACAGGAACCCTGTAATTAGCTTTGATTATTATCTACTAATCAGGCACTGCATCTGTAAAAGACATAAGTTCGTTTTCTTTTGAGTTTTACATATTATAAATATTTTTGCTCATTATAATACTGTAATAGGCATCTGAAAATGTAAACCCTATCTTAAAGTCCTCCTTAATATGATACTACCAAAAATCATGAGAAAACAGAAACTGACTTAGAAAGTGATTTAATTAAATAAACAGATCTAAGATTTAAATCTGGAATCTTAGCTACCGAATGCTAGTAATTTTTTTAAAAACCCAAAAACTGCCCTTTGGAAAGAAGAGCACTGCCTGGCATTTGGTGAACTCCATCTTGAGTCCAATGTCACTACATGATTCCTAATTCTTTTGAAGTGAATGGGTTCAGCTTTTTCTAAGATATCTAGGAACGTTAAGGTCTGTGCACAACCTGTACTGTGCTCACAAGCTTAAGCAAATATGGAGACAAGAAAAACTTCCAGATTTACTTACATGTAGAAAGCAATGCACTATCGTTAAAGAGAGATTCCCAACCAATATAATGATAAAATCAAATAATTTATGTGGTTACTTGAAAAAGAATCTTTCAACCTTTAGAAGTATAGGCCCTTCTGACCTTGTGTTCTATTGGATTTGTCTGACAACAAGAAGTGAAAGAATTCTGTGGCTCCATTGTCTCAACAGTGGGATCTAAGAAAACACTGGCAGGACTCATCAGAGAGGTTTATGAGCCTCTGCAATTCAAAGAGATTAAAAGGAAAATCTACGGAGATTCTTTCACACTGAAGAATAACATTAAATAACTATTAGCAGCTTGGTTCAGTAAAGCTTACTAGAGCTCTCGCTGGGTCATTCACAACTTTCTAAAAGAGGAAAGGTTTTTCAGCTCCATTTGGGAATCAATAAATATTCCTTACTTCTTACCAGACAATGGAATTCCAGTCTTTTAAAACTTCCTCCTAATGACAGTAAAATTTCTAAAACAGCTCTTTGTTTGCTGCCTATATAATTACACTTCCTAATCCCAGGAAACCTTTTCTAACTGTAGCTACAATTCAAATAAATAAGTAAAAATAAATAAATAACAGCAACAAAAAGCTACCGAGAAGAGGAATTAAACTTTATTCTTTATGGATGAGATATCTAAAAGTCTCATTCAACCCACTACTGGCCAAAAGATCTAGTCTATCTGCAACTCTGTCCCTACTATTCAAGAGTGGCAATGTTGTGTGTTACTCAAGTGATCAAGTCCCCAGAACGCTCTCATTTAGCAGTTAGTGCATTGTATTTATTTGTATGCCATTTAAAACAAAGTTTATTTCAAACTTACAGAAGTCATCTATGTGTGTTAAAAGCAAATCGCCGTATTTTCCTTTAGATCTAAATTAGTATCTTGCTGCTTTAAAACCAAGTAATTTAATTTTA